TTTGTGCAATCTCCATCCCTAGTGTACTGGTTGATAATAGCGGCATATGATTCTTACTTGTCTATCAAATTCAGGCATGAAATTGTTGGTGAAGTAACAGAGGTGGGAAGCAAGGTTGAGAAGTTCAAAGTTGGGGACAGGGTAGGTGTGGGATGCATGGTTGGTTCATGCGGCTCATGCCAAAGCTGTACTGAAAATCTTGAAAATTACTGCCCAAAAATGATCCTCACATATGCCGCCAAGTATGTGGATGATACCATCACATATGGAGGCTACTCTGACTCGATGGTTGCAGATGAGCACTTTGTGGTTCGCATTCCAGACAGCCTTCCTCCTGATGCTGCCGCTCCTCTGCTTTGTGCTGGGATCACTGTGTATAGTCCTTTGAAGTATTTTGGACTGGACAAGCCTGGTCTGCATATCGGTGTGGTTGGTCTTGGTGGTTTAGGCCATTTGGCTGTGAAGTTTGCCAAGGCCTTCGGTGCTAAGGTGACAGTAATAAGTACATCACCTAATAAGAAGGAGGAAGCATTAAAAAATCTGGGAGCTGACTCCTTTGTGGTCAGCCGGGAGCAAGATCAGATGCAGGTACCTGTCAGAATTTGTTTCTCTAGCTTGAATATATTGTTGTGCCTGCATCTGATAATTTGTCACGATCAGCTTCTAATATTATTCTGATTAATGTAGGCTGTAATGGGTACCTTTGATGGTATCATTGACACTGTTTCTGCTGTCCATCCTCTCTTGCCTTTGATTGGTCTGTTGAAATCTCACGGGAAACTCGTTATGGTCGGTGCCCCAGAGAAACCTCTTGAACTCCCAGTCTTTCCTTTACTTTTGGGTATGCACATGAAAAGTCCATCTTCTGATTTTCACGCGGCTTATGTTAATAACCTCATGTTAATAAGCATCATGGAGAAGCCAGTCCATGATTGAAATAGGAACATGATTCTAACCAGTATTATTGGTCACTTCTGTGCAGGGAGAAAGTTGGTGGCTGGGAGTGCCTTTGGAGGAATGAAGGAGACACAAGAAATGGTTGATTTTGCTGCTAAGCACAATGTTAAGCCAGAAATAGAGGTGGTTCCAATTGACTATGTGAACAAGGCAATGGAGCGTCTCGCGAAAGCAGATGTCAAGTATCGATTTGTCATTAACATTGGAGAAACACTGAAGCCAAGCGCCTAGTTTTGCACCATCCAGATTTCTGTGAATAAAGGGAGGGGAGTATGAGCAATTAAGAGTGGGTTATTTTTGGGTTTGACATTACTATACTGCCCATTTGATTTGTGTGGTTTAGCTACGGTGGTTTAGAGTGATTCTGGATTCGGGGTAGCAATATTTTGTAGTTGGTCAGTATATTGGACAACCATATATGATGTTGGCTATCAAGAGTTCTCCCATTAACGCCACGTTCTAGTTGAACGATGAGTTAAATCCCTGTAAAATGGAAAAAGGCCTTTTTCTAGAATAGAAAAGAAAGAGGGAAGTCTTTGTGGGGCCAAAAGAAGAAAATTTGATCGGAGAATAAGCGGTGCTAACCGACTTTCTTGTCCCTTTCTGCTCCGATCAATTTCGCTGAAGCTCTAGAAGGTCCCCGAAATAGCGTGAAAGAATGGATGGTTTCTGTCCAGGTGTCTGCATCGCCATGTACATGCGAGTCTTGTCCCCGATCAAGCACTTGGAGCCAAAAGCCCAAAATGCCAGATTTTAGAAAGAATCCATTTATTCATAGAGTAGTAATAATAATAACTAATATGCCCCAAGAAAGAGCCTGAGAAAAGGCCGTAATGGAATGAGCAAGATGGGCGATCAAATTGGTCGGCCCAACACTGAAATCGGGCTTGTACTTTTTTATTTGAAATGGGGAGACGGGCTAGGAAGTCAGCAAGCTGAATTCACAGTGCTATTAGGAAAGACTACAGACTAGAGAGAGTTACATGCGTTGGCTGTCCAATTAACTGCTGCCTTAATTAATTTAATAATTAATCTTCCCTTCCCCCTCACTTCACTACTTACCATTATCTCTTGTACTTAATATAAAAATAGTTGATTAATTTAAGAAAATTAAAAAAATTAAAAGATTATTTAACTATGGCATATATTACATAATCTTTTTAAAATATTTATGTGTATCATTATATTAATTATCGGTTTATAAAATAGGCAAATCAGTTTGAAAATAATAATAATATTTTAAAATAATTTATTTAATTCTTTTTAACCTCTCCAAGTATTTTGCAATTAAACGAATCCGACCCACCAACCTCTGCCCGCTGTTGGCGTGACGTGTGGAAGAGGATGTTGTCAAAGATACAGAAAGGCAACACAACCCCTCAGGCCAAGAAAAACACAACCCTAAAATATGAAGGATGACGTTGTTTATTAGGTGAATACAAGATAGAAGAACAAAGCCCTGAGTTCTAAAACTGTTATACAAAAGTATAGTAAAACAATGGTGGCGTGCATCAAAGTGCAGCCATGGTGGGAGAGTTGATGGTATTTGCCACGTCGAGGACGAAACGGTACTTGACATCATTGTTTGCGAGTCGCTCTAAGGCTGTGTTCACATACTCCATCGGTATCACCTCTACTTCGGCACTGATCCTGTGCTTCGCTGCAAAATCCACCATCTCTTGCACCACCTTCATCCCTCCTCCCGCGCTCCCTGTAATTGTCTTCCCCCCTACATCCATAAACGTCACCAAATTGCATTCATTCATTATTTTCACTCTAATCAAACACCTTCTTCCTAAACCTTCTACTGTACTTACCTATAAGTAAAGACATGGCCGAGAACTCGAGTGGCGTCGATGGTGCGCCCACCAGAATCAACTTTCCATGAGTCTTCAGCAAACCGATCAATGGCGAGATCGAGTGAGGCCCCGAAACTGTGTCGATTATTCCGTCCATCGTGCCCACAGCATCCTACATACGTACAGCCCCAACCAAACATATAAATAATGCATTTTAATTGCTGATAAATTAATCGACGTGGCTAGTTGTTTGATATATTAATTAGTTTTACCTGCAATTGTTGTTGGTCTTTGCTGATTAAGAAGGCATCGGCACCAAGACGTTCCAATGCTTCCTTCTTCTTGCTGGGAGAAGTACTTATCACCGTCACTTTCATTTCAAAAGCTTTGGCGAACTTGACTGCCACGTGGCCGAGCCCCCCAAGCCCTACCACGCCCAAATGCAAACCAGGACGAGCCAGTCCATGGCTCGTCATGGGGCTGTATACTGAGATTCCAGCACACAGCAACGGGGCAGCTCCGTCCAGTGGCAGAGTTCTTGGAATCACCACGGCAAAGTGCTCGTCCACCACAATCTTATCGGAGTAGCCGCCTTGGGTTACTGATCCGTCATGGTCTCGTGCACTGAAGGTTAATATCATTTTTGGGCAATACACTTCAAGACCCTGGTTGCACTCAGAGCACGACCCACACGAGCCACATAGGCCAGGCACACCAGCTATGTCACCCACCCTAAATTTTGAGACACCACGACCCACTTTTGTCACTTCGCCCACGATCTCGTGCCTGAACTTGAACCAAAGAAAGAGATAATATGCAGCATATAGACATTAGAAATTAAGGAGTATAGTTATATAAAACTCAAAAATGAACAAGTAGCAAGGATATGAGAGCTGGTGGAGTACCCGGGAACAACAGGATACAGGGTCATGCCGAAGTCATCCTTGAGAAAATGAAGGTCGCTATGGCAAATCCCACAATAGAGAATCTTGACGGTGATGTCATTTTCGCCATTTGCCCTGTTGTTCGTTGAGCAGCAAGAAAATTATTCAGTACTGATGCATGCATGAAGGTTTTGATAGGCGAAGATGGCGATTCAATCTGAAGAACACATGCTCTTACCTTCTAGTAAAGTGAAAGGGTGAGAGGATTCCTGAGGCGTCTCTAGCTGCCCATCCATAGGCCTCTACTTTTCCCTTTTCTTCTGCAGCCATAACGTTCGACATGGAAGTGCTCTTCTGTATCGGAGTGAAATAGGTTATATCTAGGGGTTGGATAAACAGATACTTGCGTTGTGGAATGAAGTGATGTGTTGATGAAAGTCCTATATATACATATTATGTACTGTCTTTACCCGCGAGTTATAGATTTTTTTTCCTCCTTGCATACCTTTCAGCTTTCACAAGAACAAAATACCAAATTGACAAAGACTTGGCATTTTCACGCTCCCTCTAAATGAGGTGAGGACAGGCTATATGCTATGCTGACATACTGGATGATGTTATGAGTATATATAGATGACATCATCCGTTCCAAGATCGATGCTCAGGCCCAAAAAAGAAAAAGGAAGAAAGAAAAGTCAAAGGAAATCAAACGATTCGTTCCAAATGTTACGAGGAGGGTGATATAAATATTCTTCCGTTACTTCTCCGTAGACTGCACTACAACTTTATGCGAGCCTGTCACTTTCAAACCAAATTAATTAAATATTCTTCTGTTCTTTTTGTTCGTGGACTGCTTAATCTCATGAAAGTTCAATCCCTCGCCACGCTCTGCTAGATCCGCCACTACCTGACTTCTAATGCAACAAATAGTTACCGGTCCCCAAGGCGGCTTTAAAAGCAGGACGGATTCAGTGCAGATTATGAATATGACGATTTTTCAACATAAGACGCTTTTTTAACTGACTATTAAACGAGCACATTAAACTGGTGACGCAGGCGATTAGCTTTATATACTCCATTTTTCGTCATCTATTACGAACATACTAATTGTGAATTTGTAACTGCCAAATTTTACTTTCACTCCCGCACACACTAACATGTGTATTTAAAGAAGAAGTTGTGGTACCAAAAAAGAAGAAGAAGAAGTTGAATATTCTTGTGTTCTTTCAAACCAGACTGCGTTACTGTTTCCGCTCTGTCTCCTTCATCATACGCTATAAATATATTCTCAACTTCTTCAGTTTGCCATAGTCACATTCTCCAAAGATCACACTTCTCCACATATACCCATTCCAACAATATGGCAAACACCATCTCAGCACAAGAAAATGAGAAAACACCTGCCTTTGGCTTAGCTGCCACAGACTCCTCAGGAATTGTCTCCCCTTTTCACTTCTCCAGAAGGCATCTTCTTCTTCTTCTCCTCAACACACACACACACACACAAAAGCCTCAAATTACTGCAACTCTACATCCGGTTTTTATATACACAAGACTTAACATTGTTGTCTTCATTGATATACAGGGCAAACGGTGATCATGATGTCACCTTAAAAATCCTGTATTGTGGGATTTGCCACGGTGATGTTCATCAGCTCAGGAATGAACTGGGCCAAAACAGCATGTATCCCATGGTTGCCGGGTAATATATATGTTCTCTTGATCAGTCTTTCCCCTTCAAATAAACCATTCACATTCAACTATAAATGTATAAGCTCATAGCTTAACACTCATTAGTCTGAATCGGACCACTTTAGGCACGAGATTATCGGAGAAGTGATAAAGGTGGGCCGCAATGTGACGAAATTCAAAATTGGTGATATTGCTGGCGTGGGGCCATTCTGTGGTTCATGCCGCTCTTGCTCTAACTGCGATCAGGGCTGGGAAAGTTACTGCCCCAAAAGCATTTTCACCTATAATGCATACGACCATGATGGATCAATGACTCAAGGTGGATATTCTGATAAAACAGTGGTTGATGAGCATTTTGCCATCAAAATCCCAAATGGCTTGCCGCTCGATGGTGCAGCTCCGCTGTTGTGCGCCGGAATCACAGTTTATAGCCCGATGAAGTTCCATGGACTGTGTCATCCGGGTCAGCATCTGGGTGTGGTCGGGTTGGGTGGACTCGGCCACGTGGCCGTCAAGTTTGCCAAGGCCCTGAACATGAAGGTGACAGTAATAAGTACTTCTCCTGGAAAGAAGAAGGAAGCCTTGGAAAGGCTTGGAGCTGACTCTTTCTTGCTCAGTAACGATCCGAAGCAATTGCAGGTAATCACAGTTCAATTCGTTGCTTTATAATAAGTTCGTCAACCTGAATTATAGTCGTCAAATGAATTGGTTGTTGAATATATATAGGAGGGGAAGGATACGTTGGACGGGATTATTGATACAGTTGCAGGACCTCACTCTCTTTACCCATTGGTTGAGTTGTTGAAGACAGGAGGAAGATTGATCACAGTTGGGGTATCAAAAACTCCTCCTGAGTTACCCGCTAGGCCTTTGAGGATGGGTAATTAATTTCATCTCTCATACATCTATCTTAGTTAATTCCTTATAAATTTTTCAAGACTTTGATGAAGATGATTGTATATATGTATATGTATACAGGGAGGAAGATGGTTGCTGGAAGTGCTGCTGGAGGAATGGAAGAGACCCAAGAGATGATAGATTTAGCAGCGAAGCATAATATCACAGCAGATATTGAAGTTATTCCTATGGATTACGTGAACACTGCTTTAGAACGAGTTGCCAAAAACGATGTCAAGTATCGTTTTGTGATTGATGTGGCCAACACTCTTCATAAGCTCTCTCTCGCTGCCTAGAAATTGACAGAGAAACAAAATCTTCTCTATCCAAGCACTTGCGAAGAAAAATCGATTCCAACGTTGGATTTCATTTAATAAGAGAGACACAAATGTTGTGTTTTATCATTTCTTTCTGTTACTCTCCTGTTAGAGAGCATCTGATGCTTCAACTCTTGTTTCTGTGACTGAGTGTGGTTGCATGGCTGTATTTTTCTGTTTTTTTTTTGGGCCAAAGTTGCATGGCTGTATTTTAATATCCATAATATATTGCTGTATTTGTGATGTTTTAAATAATGAGGCTGTACCAGTTTTATAAAGTGTGATATTATTTCTTAATTATTTATATTAGTTGTTTTTTTTTCTGACAATACTATTTGTCGTCGGATATTTTTATTTCTAAATACACTGCAAACAACAAAGGTAACACGGCTTGCAATCTTGATCCTTTAAGCTTATATGATATTTTATTTTAATTTTTTAATTTTATAAAGTTCTTTTTCATTCTTCTAAGTACTGACAGAATATTCTTAAATACTAATAAATTAAGCTGAAAGTTAAATAATCTTTTTTTATGACATACATAAATTTTTTTTTTTTGGAGTCTGTGGCGCGGTCCAGTTACAACCGTGAACATTAAAGGGGGAAAAATACGTGGGGCCCATCATCCGCCATTTCTGGCCCATCTTAACTCCGGAAGGCTGAAGTGGTTGGCGTTAAATCCATCCCATTGAAGCACTTTGGGCCTTCAATGTTTTGGGGCTTAGGAGGCAAAGGGACGTGCAAAGGGTTTTGTCCTCTCTGTCTCGAATTTATACATAATTATAATTTATGGCGTCCGCAGTGCACTGGGCGATATTTTACCTTTGCTTTTACTTATAATTTATGAACGGTATCCCTTTTTTTATGATATGCAACAAGGAATACCACTTCTACTAGTACTCCTCCACTCTATAATGTAAGATGTACTCCTCTGATCCTTAATATATGACCTAATTATTGAGTTGATTTTAATCCTAAATATAAGACTCATTTCTCATATTTATCGATTTTCTCTAAATTACCTCTATGGATATTCCTTCAACCATAATCAAGTAGAAAAGGAATAGGGGTATTAAGATAAATTATTATGGTATTTTAGGAAAAACGTGTCACATTTCTTATAATTAACTAACTTACCCAACTCCTTTAATCTAATCAAATTAGTTAAATGGGTCTTATATTAAGGACCGGAAGAGTATTTAACTAATTTGATTAGATTAAGAAAGTTAAGTAAATTAGTTAATTATAAGAAATATAATATATATTTTTAAAAATACCATAATCATCTTTCTTAATATCCTCTCTCCCTCACTTACTTTATTATGGTTGAATGAGTATCAATAGGGGTAATTTAGAAAAAAATAAAAAACATGAGAAATAGATCTTACATTTAGAATTAAAATCAACTTAATAATTATATCTTGCATTAAGAACCGGAGGAGTATATGTTGATATTGAAGATTATACGAACTGCAAGAAAAATATGCATATCGAAACAGAAAACTTCATGCACGTACGCTTCCGTTTCCTCATTATTGGTTGGATGTGTGTGCGTGTGTGAAGACCTCTTCTATTTTATTTTTAATTTGGATTGTTTGGGACTTTTATAAATTACATCCAAGAGTTTCTTGGCCGATAAGAAGATTAATCATCTGCTAATCACAACCACAAAGGAAAAAAAAAATTTGTCACACAAGATAGCGATCGACCTTTTGTTTGGCCTATCACATAAGGCAACAACTTGGCCTACTGCGATAATATATGGGAGTGCATTATCATGGGTAACAGAAGACCAATAAGTATACGGATCAATTAACTTATTTTTTAGACCAAGACATATCAAAATTGCAATATAATAACCTCTATTAATCTTTCATGAAAATATTGGGATCATGAATTGTGAATTCTCTCACCTTAGGGTCGAAATTGAGAAGGCAATTTATCTAACTAAATAAGTTTTTTTAAATACTCCTCAAATCCTTAATATAAACCCAATTGTTGAGTTGGTTTTTATTCTAAATATAAGATCCATTTCTCATATTTATCATTTTTCTCTAAATTACCCATATAGATACTCCCTCAATCATAATCAAGTAGAAAAGGGAGAAGGAGTATTAAGAAAGATGATTATAGTGTTTTAAGAAAAACGTATCGTGCACATTTCTTATAATTAACTAACTTATATAAATTTTTTAATCTAATCAAAATAGTTAAATGAATCTTATATTAATAACCGCAGGAGTATATTGCAAGTCAAATCATGTCCCAGTGTCAGATTTTGGGAGTACGTTAAAGCAAATTGCCTTTTTTTTTCTTTTTTTTTTTTTTTTTTTACCAGCGTTAACGCAAATTGACTGGGTCGACGGTGGACGATAAGAGAAATGAAGTTGGCGAGCGAAAGGCCGAATGGACCTAGAGAGTCGGCATTAATTGCTTGTTCCCCTACGCAAAGTGACAAGAAGACACCAAACATATACAATAACGTGTTCTACACTTTTTGCCCCTTCCCCAGTTAAGATCATGTTTCACCGAGCTGGTTCTAATGAAACAAATAAATCAAATTAGCGTTTCAATTTCATTTTCCCCACGAAGTGTTTTGAATTGTCCATTTGGAGCACATGAGTGTTTGATAACTCATGCCGAGAGGTTGTTAATATAATAATTACTAAATTGATTTGGATAGACAAAGAAAGCTAAATAAATTATCTAATTTTAATAAGATTAACATGATCTCTCTAAAATACTTTTATGTAATATTATATTATATATATCAGCTCATAAGTTGTATAAATTAATTTGAGAAAAGTTAAAATATATAAGAGATAAAATGGATTTAAAGTCTTTCATTTAGGATCAAAACAAGTTTCCTAACTAGTTCATACATTTAAAAGCGGAGGGATATACATCTATGTCTATCTACAACTGTCCCTAATTAAAAATCAATTCAAAAGCGACCTCTCGCCTGATTAAGCCGACCACCCACTTAAGCTTGCATTGTACCTCATGTTACAGTCACTAACATTAATGGCTCTGCGCGCTGCGTGCATGCTTCCTCACTTGACTTGGTCCAAGTGTTTATGGCCTTCAGCTCTCTAGGCATAGCTAATTAAGCTGGAAAACGGCCTTCCTCTTCCTCTTCGGATCACTCTGTGTGTGTGTGTGTGTGTGTGAGGGGTTTTCTCTGTTTTTTTTGGGTGAAAGCGGTTTTTCTGATATGGGATTGTACGAAAATGGCCTCTCTCTGAGTTTATATTAGTTGTTTCTTGCTTGATTGAGCATAATCCTAAAAGATTAACCTGCTGAGAGGAAAAGTCTTTCAAGCTTGTAAACTGCACTACACTTGTGAAGCTCCCCAACTTGGGAGCCCTTACAATAAGTAAAACTTAACAATTCAAGATTTAATTTCAAACTTTAATATTTATATATTTTTTTTGCCATAAATGAGTATTTAATATTCATAAATTGAGTTATGTCATTTATAACTTAAATTCATAAATATTAAATTGCTTGAGACGTATTAGTGTTAAATAAAATCGGAGGGACCTACATATACGCAGAGAATATTAGCGTGTATTGAGCCGATTGCTTGTTGGGCCAAGTTTGTTGTCTCTGATATCTTGATTATATTTTTGCCCTTCTTGACTTTCTAGTGCCCATAGAGAAGCTATGCGATTGTACAGATAATTATTTACCTTCAATATAATTCCTTTCATTTGCTGAATTCCCTGAGAATTCAACCATGTATTTAAGTATTTTCACCTAAGATTTATGGTTGATGATTTCCCCAATAATTAACCTTCCCTGCTAAGCACAGATGAGTTTTGTGATGATCTAGTTCGATTTATTCAGCCAAATGTGGTTTATTATTTTAAACTCATATTAAAACGAGCAGGTTAAAGTAGTGACGCACGGGATTGGCTATATATATAGACTGCGTTTGTCATCATCTAATACCAAATGATAGCAATGGGTTGTGGGTTTGAGACAGTCAAAAAAATTTATTTTTCAACAGACTCTATAAATACTCCCAACTTGTGAGTCTCTAAACATCCCACGGCTACACAGCCATTCCCAGCAACTAATATGGCAAACACTATCTCAGCACAAGAAAATGAGAGAATACCAGCCTTTGGATTAGCCGCCAGAGACTCTTCAGGAATTGTCTCGCCTTTTCACTTTTCAGAATGTGTATATATACATAGCACATGCACATGTTGCCTACTGTATAGTTACAAATGGAAATATATATGTGCGCGCGCGCGCGCGCGCATAACCATTTTATGCGTTCTTGAATATAAGTCTGCATGTACAGGGCCAACGGTGACCATGATATCACCGTCAAGATACTGTACTGTGGGATTTGCCACGCTGATGTTAGTTGCCTCAGGAATAAACTGGGAGGCCACGCCTTCTATCGTATGGTTCCCGGGTCTCCTTCTTTGCTAGATTTCATCCTCCAAATTAAGCCTTTCATTTGCATTTTCCTTTCCCATACTAGTTATTCTTCCCCCCGCGTCTGACTCGAATGACTTGATTAATTCCTTAGGCACGAGATTGTGGGCGAAGTGATGAAGGTGGGTCGTAGTGCAAAGAAATTCAAAATCGGTCATATAGCAGGTATAGGTCCACTTTTTGGTTCGTGTTGCTCCTGTTCTAGCTGCAACCAGGGTTGTCTATTGCCCCAACAAAATTGGGACTTATAATTCACTTGATGGAGATGGATCAGGGAGCTCTGGTGGGTATTCTGACAAAACTGTGATTGATGAACATTTTGCTGTCAAAATGCCCAATAGCTTGTCCCTTGATGGAGCAGCGCCATTATTATGTGCTGGACTCACAGTGTACAGTCCCATGAAATACTATGGACTGTGTGAGGCTGGTCAGCTTTTGGGTGTGGTAGGGTTAGGTGGACTTGGTCACTTGGTTGTCAAGTTTGCTAAAGCTATGAACATGAAGGTCACTGTGATAAGTACTTCTCCTGGGAAGAAGAAAGAAGCAAAGAAAAGCCACGGTGCTGATGTTTTCTTACTTAGTACCGACCAACAACAATGGCAGGTATCTAAATGTCTCTTGTTCTGTCAGGTCATAACGTTTCATACCAATAGTTTTGTCAATAAACCAGATCCTGCTTAATGATCATTGGGATTCTGAATAT